TCACGCTTGTGATCCAATTTTTCTCGCAATCTCCTTATTTTCTTGACAAGCTCATCTTCTGAGTACTTGTCACGTTTTCTCTTTTTCTCCTTTGCCATAATTGGAAGAGAAATCACAGTTTTTAATATTTTGAATGGAAATATTAAAATACAAATGCTCTCAACGTTGTGTCTCTCTCGAGCACAAAAAACGTTATGATTGTCATAGCGTCCACGAGGGTGCCAAGAAGCGCGCGGGGCGCATTTTTTCGAATTGCTCTCTGAAATTGTGACTCGACCTGGCATAAGCGGCGGTACTACTACTAGTAATTATCATCATTGTAATTCCGAGAACGAGACTGAAATATAATACGCTTCAGTAAAACGTAAAAGAAGACTTCTTAAACGTGATTTACGTTTAGGTTTTTCTGTGTATAAATAAAAACAAAGACTGCACTGATTAAAAATGATTACCACTTGATTTCCAAAACCTGGTTCCACATATGGTAATCATGTGATTACAGTGATTACATTGATTTCACTGGGATTACTATCGATTACATCAGCGAGTGACACCACGATTACACCTGTGAATAGCCCCTCGATCTTTCATATGGTAAAATTTGCCACGATTTTCTAGACAATTTTGATTCAACTTTTCTCTCCGCACTGATAGAAAGGATTAGGGTAATTAGCTAATATAGCAACTCCAATTTTCCCGGGATACTGATAGGTACATATTAAGTTTTTATACGTGATCTTGAAGTATTCCGACGTATAATGTGTCGGAAACTGGCTGCTATAAATGAATCTAACCTCCTTGAGCTATTACACTTAGTAGCGTGTATGCTCATTTAGAAGTACGGGACCTCCCATTTTACGCTTTTACTTCTAACAGCAGTTTTTTAAATTCCAATTATGATGTGTTCATATATATTCAACGTGTACACTGAGGGAAAAATATAACTCTTCTGAGTATATTCCATCACCATCGAATTATAGTCAAAAAGTCTTCAACAATTTTTCATGGGTTACGGTAACTATGGCCGGAGAAGTAATTACTACAATGGAATATAGTCATTGCAATTATTTTATAGTTCTACTCACGACAGATTTGTCCTGGTTACTTTTGAACTTTGGTTAGTTTAACTGCATTTTGATTTGCAAAAATTACGCTTGTGAAGTTACTATAATGTTATGTGCCGCATATAACAAAAAATCGTATCATTCACCAAAACTGCCTCAACTATTTTCTTATTGTAAATCGAACTTCAGATTTTTCTCTCACTGTAGTGAAGCACTCATTTTTAAAGTATCAAGCTTTACCAGCACTTGGCATTACAAAGGTCAAACCCAGTCAACCCTCTTCAAGTTATTTATCTAATTGAGTCCGACTCAATTTTCTTGTTGATTTCAATTTATTTTAGTAATACAAATTGATTCAATTTCCTCGAAAAATCCGTTGGAGCAGTGATATACTCTAATTACCAGGATTAGTTATTGTTAACAAATAGATTTGGTTGGAGGCTAGGGTCTAGTCGTTCTCAACAAATGTTCATTCGTTAATAGTGAACAAATGCATATTTGACGAGTCTTGTTTGAGTTGACTTTCACCTTTTAAGTGAACCATTCGTTAACTATGAACGAATATTTATTGGGTCATATTCAACTCTACCATTCGTTAATAGTTCACGAATCTCATTTGGAATAAATGAATCATTCTGTCAGTGCCTGCCCTTGGGGACAAATTGCGCACATTTTTGAGAAAAATTCTTTAACGTGATGGGTTTAGAAAAAAAAGCACTCATTTTTTTCCACCACGGATCGAGGACCAAAAAAGCTCTTGACCTCCGCAAATGAAAAACAAGAAGTAGTCCAACCTCATTTATCACGTGTTTATGCCCACATTATCTTAACCAACAGAATGAATAAAAACTGAATTAAATTGTAAATGAGGCCACAACAATAGGGCGAAGGTGGCCACGGTAATTGTGTTGTAAGGTCAGTGGAAATTACCCAGCACTGCGAATGAAACCCACCGAGAAAACCCATAAACTCGCCAACCCTCGAGCATAAATTTCGATAAATAATTAATGCAGCTCTTCCTGTACCGTGTGAGAGGAGAAGAAACATTTCGCTACAGAGGTTTATCTTCTTCCGCGAAACCCAGAGCAACTTCATCAAAAGGATATTTCCCTCATTTTTCATTCTCAAGACCGTTATGATCTGCATCCCTCAATATCCATAAATCTCTTTTTTCTGTCATCAAAGGGAAGAGAAAATAAATACGGGAGGGTGGAATAAGGCTTTTGGATTAAAGTTGACTTGAGAATAAATGGCAATGAGTGCGAAGAGGTGGAGTACAACTGAACTCGTTGGGGGTTTAGAGATGTATCTAAAAAAAAGTGGGTCTCATATTATATACGGTGGAAATGGAACTCTCCTGTATGTTCCTTTGAGTAATGTCTCTGTCATTATAATGACGCAGTACCGCTAAGCAGCTTTTACCACCCTCATCCCCCCTCCCCTTCCACAGCGTTCTTCTGTGTAGTCTTCAAACTGGATGCCAGGTATTGACAGACTGCACTGCTAGAAAAGGTGGAACGATTTAGTCACTATTAACAAGGCTTCTTAACTATTAATGCCATACGTTAACTATTAATGAATCGTGTTAATACAACCGGTATTTTACCAAGTTTTCTACACGGAAAAAAAAGACACGGTGGAAATACTGAGATCGCAGGTATTTCGCCTGAGTTACGTACGAAGAGGGTACTTCGACACTAAAACGACGGCGTTTCACCAATTTTCCACGTATATAAAAACACAACTCTTTTGTGAATTGAATCATATATGATGATCAGTAAATTTATAAAAGACAGGAGATTCTCAGTACAGTCAATAATACAATTGTTCAATTGTAGGCGAATCACCCCAACAACATCATCAGACATTAGTGATGTAGGGAATAGGTATAACATGAAATCTAGATATATATCTATAAATACGAAATAGAAATTTTTCCTTTTCTATCCCAGTCTCCATTAATGTCTTGCCTTCGTTAGTTTCTTCGTCCGTGCAGAATAATGCCTTGCGTAAATGTGGTAGTTTATCCGAAATTCTCAAGCTTTTCACCGAACATTCGACTTCCCATTAAACTTCCTAATAATTAACGTTAAAGAACGGAATATTGTCTTGCGCTGCGCAAGGAAAACGAAAATACCTGGCGAAGCGCCCCGCTCATACGAACCTCCGGCGAAATACCTGCGATCTCAGGTTTTCCGCAGTTTCCTTTTTTTCCGTGTACATGTAAAAAAGTAAGTAATTTACCAAGGAGGTTTTGGACGAGGGACTAGTCACTTAGGAAATCACTGGACTACTCGACTGGAAATCAAAGAAAAAATCACCAGAAATCAATGGAAATCACTGGAAATCAAGTGATTTCCATTTTCGGTAGTGATTTCTAAAGATTTTAGGAAATCACCGGAAATCAATAGAAATCATAAAGAAATCAAGTGATTTCCGAAATCATTAGAAATCATCGATAAGTGTAGAATCGAAATTGATTTTGCAGTTTCAAACTCTACAATTTTTGTTATGGTATCGGTGCGTTCGAAATCACCCAATCCCGAAATGTGAAGCTATAAAGTTTTTGACATCCTTACGTATTGTAACGTCATGTAGAAAACTGCCATTATCGACAGATGTCTCATTTTGGTCCCGAAATCATGATTTCTCCTGTGATTTCTGGAAATCAAGAAATCATTGGAATATACTAGAAATCATGGAAATCACAAGAAATTAAAAAAAATCATGATTTCTAATGTTGATTGAGAAATCACAAAAATCATTCGCGAAATCACAGAAATCAACAGGAAATTACAAGAAATAATCTGATTGTGGAAATCACTGAGTCACTCGATTAAGTGACCAGCTCCCAGTTTTGGACCTTTTTGACCGCATGTGTGCGGCATTGAGAACAACACAGTTGTTTTGGCGCGAGACCAACCCCGTTGACAAGGTTGCAAGGGTCACGCCTCACAAGCGTCAAACATCGCAATGGTCATACCTCACGAGGCTCAAACATCGCAATGGTCATACCTCGCGAGGGTCAAACGTTGTAAAGATTAAACAATAGAGAGGTAGGCAGAGAACAATCTCATAGGTCAAACGACAACAAGCGGCAGCCGGGGAGCTAGGAAAGACGACCACACGCTTCCAACGATTATGAGGGTCAAACAGAAGGATCATGAAGGGTTTAACAGGAGAATGTTTCTCGCGAGGTAAAACCCTTGCGATCTCTGAACCTTGCAACGTTGGCCCCTTGTGGCGTATAACGCTTGCGACATTTGACCATCACGGAGCAGGATCCTTGCGAGTTACGACCTGTACCACATTTGACCCTCGCGAGATATGATCCTTGTGACGTTTGACCCTTGCAAGGTATGGCCCTTGTGACGTTTGATCCTCGCAAGGTACAACCCTCGTGACATTCAGTCACAAGCGTTTAAGCACTAATAATTGGATGAAAGGGTTTTCTACCAGTTATTTACCTTTTTTACCATTTAGAGGTAAATTACCAGGATTATACTATGTATCGTAGAAAACTCTGATTTTCAGTGAACAACCCAACCCTACCCTCAAGTATCCAGCGCCGCTATCCATCAAATTGAGGAATTATATGATCCTTCAAGAGCAGGACTATTCTTTGAATTTCAAATCCTCTCAGTAAACAATGTTTTATGGTTTGTACGGTCATACCCCAAAATAACGACGTTTTACTCTGGTATTATTGCTCGAATAATGGGCTATAACACGGGCTATTAAAGCTTCCATGTTCATAAATCTCTGATCAAATATTGCCTAGTTCGGTTCCAGTGAACGAAACTTTTATGGAGCAAGTTTATCTTCTCATGCAAAAACAGAGTAGCAAACCATTGTTGAGGGTGAGAGCGAGGGTAGCTAGAGCATGGCCTGAGATTCTGAAGAGATCCATAAAAATGTTTCTCACTTTCTGTGTAGGAAAGAGGCGGCTGTCAGTATGGAGGGACAGTTTCTCGTACGACAAATCTATGACGATGAAATCACCTATAATATCATCTCAGCAGCGGAGAAGTTACTCAGTGAGTACAGCAGTTCATGGGAGATTCAGAAATTATTTGCTCCGTCTTCTTTACAACCATTTTTGTTCCTCTCAGAGAACAACGTTTTAGTTTTTAGGGGAATCAACCGATATCAATTTGTCAAACACTGAAATACTACATTTTCTGTCACCTCCAAAAATTTGAGAATTTATTATTTTTTCCATTGCCTAGATACAATGATTAATTTTCGTAAAAAAAAAGTTGAAAAACTTGAATTCAATATCTTGTTTTAAAATTTTTTTTTCGTCATCCGTAGGGCGACGTGCTACATCTGTTTTATGTCCAGTTTTTAAGTTCAAAATTTTCGAATTGTCATCGTCAATTTTAACGCAGCGGCGCTGCGCTTACTGTGCGACGGATGAAGGCTGGCGGCCGAGCGCGAGTGATCGGGGGTTAACCCTAGTTGGTCACCATATGAGAACTTGCGACTTTGGTCACCTCCGCAGGGAATCGCCGCCGTGTTATTTAGTCCCGAGCGTTGCCTAATTCACTCTATACTGCCCGGGCGCGTTTAGCGAGACTTCGGCAACGTCGCACAACGGGCAATTTCATTTAATATGGAAAAAAATTGCCCGTCTATTAGAAATATTTTTTTTTCTTCAGGAATTGTGGATATAAATAATTTTAAAAAATATTATAATTTTCTAAACACTTGGATTGACGCATTCCAATTTTTTAGGATTTTTCCGCTCAGCCAGTCAATGGTAAGAAAAAAAAATCGACCTTCTGCGGCGTTTCCCTCCTATGGTGACCAAACTAGGGTTAACCCTCCAGGGAGTCTATTCTCGAGTTGAAATCGTGCGTTCGATTTCGATAGGTCGCATGCGACTCGTAGTACGCCTTATGGGCCGTATGCGACTTGTTGAAGTTGAATAGTACGATTTCAATTCGAGAATAGCCTCCCAGTGGTCTCACCTCTCCACCAAACGTATCTGGTCGCGCGATGAGCGCTGCGCCGTTCCGTGTATTTTACCATTTTGAGAAAGAAAAGTTCAAAAAAATGATGTATTTATGATTAAACGAGTAACTTTGAACTTCCAATTAACAACTAATATCAGTATAAAATGAGAAAGGTGAAAACATTATTCAAAAATTTATTTCCATTCGGTGCGAAAATTTGACATTTAGAGGTTAGACATAGAGATTTTGACCAAGTCGAATTTGTAAGGGATTTTAATTTTTGATCTGTGCAAAGATACACAGAACAAAAATTGTTCAAATGTTTGACATGGTGGAAAGTAGGAATCCCAATTTTTTCAGATTTTTCTCAACAACGTTTCAGCGTAAAAAATAAACATCGAAACAGAATGGCGCTCGTGCCATGACGCGACCGATCGTGGGTTAAGGATAATGAAACGAGGAGTAGGAATATTAATATCTCCGCATATATATTTTTTCCGTGAGGCGAATGAATTATTTAATCACCGAAACAAGGCTTTCAACGTAAATTGAAGAATTCTTTGAACTAAGTTCCCATGAATTCACTGGTGAAATTATCAAATTAATCGGGTCAAGTGTAACACTTTTGTTAATAAGTGGAAAATTGATACATTTAGAATTCTAAAGAAAAATGTCGAGAGACCGTTATGTAGAAAATTTCTTAGCCTGTGAAACAGTTTCTTAATATTCTCTTCATAGCTCTCATCACTAAGATAATTTGACAATCAACTCCTTTGCTAAATTCATGAGAGGTAAAATGAAAGTTCCTGACCTTTCGAAATGCTTCTGCGATTGTTGATGGAATAGGATAATTGTCGACGAAATGGGGTACTTCTTTCTTCAGCGAGGATATGACTGTGAAAAGGCTTCGGTTGCATTTCACCAATTATTTTAATTTGACATTTGGTTGTTGATTCACTCTTTAGGGATTTTTTTAAATTCGACAACTGATTGTCGTGTTACTTTTTCAACAACCAGTCGTCAAACTGCAAATACTAGTTTTTGTAATTTAATCACGAGTTTTCAGTGAGAACATAAATGCTTTCTTATTTCAAATCGTACTCAGCAGACTTTACGATAAAAACACGTTCAACTAAGTCGCATTGTGTGATAAGTACATTTCGAAAACTTAAAATGGCCCATTGTGTCCCGCTTCCTCTCGTTCAATGAAATTCATTTATCGCGATTTAATTTATGTTATTGCCTCTAAAATCACTGATTTCGAATGTAGGAAATCATTCGAAGTCAATTGCAGTGACGAAATCATGTCGCGATCCACTTGGAGTCATTGATTTAATTTCTTCCCGGAATCACTGAAATCAATCTCGAAATCACTGAGATCAACCCTGAAATCACGTGATGTGAATTTTATTTCGAAATCATGGTGCCATTCAATTAGGAAGTGAGTACACTGTTAGAAAATTAATCTTGCAATTTCAAGTAAAAAATTTTGAAATTTTTAACAACGAATAATTTACGTGGAATTTCCATTTCTCTTGTCATTGACAAATCAGTCAATGTTCTTGAATTTTTAATGAAATTTGATTTCTCAAGTTCATACGACAATGAAAATTACTGAAAATGATGAAAATTCAGGCAACTTTTCTTCTGAATTTTCGATCTGTTGCTTAATTTTCGCGATAGGTTTGAAAATTCAAATTGTCATTGAAAATTCATAATTCATAATGAAAAACTTAATTTTATTGAATTTCCAAGATGAATCAGGTTCTCTATCCCATGTAGAAATTCAAGCGGAGATGTGGCTGAAACTCTGCTCACACGCTTGAACCGACTGCTCAGCCCCGCCTTGACTGTATAGCAAGCGGGGACTGAGCGGAGAGATTTCTACACTGACAGAAATAATAGAACGATTCAGTTGCACCAAACGAGGCTTCTTAACTGTTACCGCGATTCTTTAATAGTTAACGAATCGTGATAATAGTTAAAAAGTCTCGTTTGGTTCGATTAAACCGTTCTGTCAGTATACCCCGGATGAGCAGTTTAGTCTGAAATTGAATTCAAGTTAAGAATATTGAAAATTCAAATGCATCTGTTACTTAAATTTCAAAAAATTTCTAACAGTGTAGCCCCTCGAGTTATCCTGACACAAAAAGTGAGGAATTTTGGATTTGATGAGTACGATGCTTCCATGTGGAAGCACCACACAGCAGTATCCAATTTTTTTCACCATATATTCTCTTTCCATTTCCAGAAATTCCAGCGAATCAAATTCTCGAGCTCTTCGGCCGTATGTTCTTCGAGTTCTGTCAGGACTCTGGCTACGACAAAATTCTCCAAGTTCTGGGAGCCACTCCCCGTGACTTCCTCCAGGTAATGAATTTACTACTCAAGTACAAGAAATTTCCGTGTAAATATGCAGAGATGAAGTGCATGAATAGCCACGAGAGAAGCTCGTTATGGATCTAGAGCACCCGTGGTATTCCTCAAAGTTGCATTCGGCATTTATGAGACCCAGCGAGAGGAGCCTGCACTCTCCCATCACTTTCCCTCAATCTCTCCTGTCATTCGAAGTAATTTACTCCGGAATCCTTGAGCTCGAGTCCCAGTAACCCCATTACCACCGTGATATGTCTGACGTAATCACTTTAGAACCCCCATGTGCCCATTTACGGCTGTTGCTTTCGCATCTCCCACCGGTGACTGTCCAACCCTCCTGGTTTTTTGGGATCCCATTGGGGAGGTATAGAACTGTCAATTAATTTGATACCCATGGGGGAAGCAGCAGCGGTTAACAGTTGTATGCGCGGGAGATAAGGAGTTTGTTTTTACGGTATTGACAATCCTACCTTCGTAGAGAAATCAGTTATGCCGACATTAGATTTGGAGGGGAGGAAAATAATGAAATTATGTTAGTTAAATTTACTGAGATTTGATCACACACGAAGGGATGTTTGGCAATATTATCGTGATAACTGAGGAAAGATTTTGAGAAGAATTGAGGGAAATTATCTTGAAAACTTTACTGTCAGAAAAGCAATCGGAGAACGCATTCTAATAATAACCGCACAGAGAGAAATATTCAGTAAAAATTACGAAACAATTCACGTAATCTGTAATGGGGAATCGTTTTCCGGTAATTTTTATAGGATTGGAGGAGAAAAAACCTGAAACGGTCAGTGAATTCTTAGGTTCATCACCGAACAAAGTACGAAATTGTCATGTAATTTTTCCCGAAGAAGTAAAATCTTACAGAAACTTCCCGACTTATTATGCCTCCAAAATAAAAAAATCTAGAACGTTCAACAATTTTTATGAAGGTGGTGAGTTATTTCTACGTTCGGTTCCGTAAAATTTCTCAATCGTTGGGGAAAAATTACGGAACGACTTGTCCCCACAAGGGTGTCATCAGACGGGTGGTTAATTTTTACGGAACAAATCGTAGAATTTACGTGACGATTCGTACAATTTCAGTTCCAACTCCCACTTTTTATTGAATTTTACATCGCTCGCGGATTACGTTTCGAAACGTAATTTTTACGTTTTTTTTCTAGTAATTTTTATCCAATTGTTCTCTCCGTGTACAAATATTTCTCACACTTTTTCTCTTTCAATATCGAGGATCTAATGTAAGACAGTATTTGACATAAAAAAATTACACTTTTAAACGTTTTTAGCACTCCATTGATCGCGTCATGAGCGCCGCGCCGCACTTTTTCCGATTTTTAAAATTGCACTGCCGTAAAACCTCAGAAAAGTTTGACATCTCATTATGAAGTGTCTAGATGCTCTATCAATGAAAACATCCGCCAAAAATATTTTAAGTAGTTAGATTTACAAATTAGTGTTCCGACCCTCCGGGCCGTACGTGTACCGTGTATAAGGCGAATTTTTAGAAAAACATGGCAACGTTGAGCTTGAATATATAATTAAGAGTACCACTGAACATAAAAAATCTTACGGGACTTCTTCAAGTATACAATCTAGATCACTCTTGTTTTTTCCGATTTTTCCTAGATCTTTCAAATTTATTATTATGTCGATTTATGCTGGTGCGGCGCGCCGCTCACGGCGCGACCATCTAACGGCGTTCGTAACTTTTACGTCACCAACGGAGTGTTATGAAAAAATCATTCTTCGACTGATTTAGGCTCTTACGGTGTAAAATTCTGGGACATAAATATATGATGTTATACTAAAGAGACAGATTTCGTTTTTTCTGAACGAAAATTCGATATTATTCGATAAATCCAGTTATTTCGCACCGAAGAATTCCTCTATGCATGTGGCAATTATCGAATGCCAGTCATCCATATCTATACGGAATACTGAGCGGTATTATCCGCTGTCAGATAATATTTTTCGGTCGGCTTCCGTCTTAGTTTTTCGATAATTTTATGGCTTCTACGAGATACCTGACCCTTATGACCCTTAATTTCGGTGTCTTAATTTCGAGCCCCTAATTTTTATCACCAGAAGTCGATTTGGATTTTTATAACATAGAGAGATTTCGGTATTCATTGACTACTTCAGACATTGATTTGTTTAATTATCAGCATTTTCAAGTATAACTACGGATCATTCATTATTTTCACATTCATGCGTTTTTTTATTTCGTTGTTTCACAATTTCATTCTCGTTTCGCAGTCCAATTAAATGTAACAGTTGGAGTTTTTGTTTTGAAGCTCTTGATGAGCGAAATAAAAGCTCAATTTTTATGGAATTAACAACGCTCCCTCAATAATGAAATAACATTTTTTTCTCATTGTAGAGAGTCTGATAATAACCAAACATATTGAGTGGAAGTGTATATGATTTTATTTTGTACTTCAATGGTTAGAATATTTAGGTTTAAAATTTATTGAGATAAAAAAAATTCAAAGTGTCTTCGATATAGGGATGGGCGATGTTTTAAAAAAACCGATTATTGACGAATCGTTGTTTTTTTCTTAAACAATGGATGGTTTTTCTCATTACACAGAAAACCATTTAGAAAAAAAAAATCATCGCATTTTGATGGAAAAATATCCTATTCTAAAAAGAGCATACGCCGTAAGCTGTAGCGTAACGCTCATTCCTCGAATTTTATTGGTCGAACATTCGGATCCGCCCGCACGTGTTCGACTTCGGTCGGCTTTCGGTTTTCGTGTCACGATTTGTCTTTAATACGCGCGCTGAAGCGCGCGATCGTTATATTTAAAAATTACAACTCGAGGATCTTACATTTTAATGAGACAGTGTCTATTCGCACGCTCCACGCTAAATTTTACCGTGGATCCATGGTAGATTCTCACTCATATCTTGTCTGACATCTCTGTTATGAACTCTGCTTTTCAACTTTGACAATTGAGTTGAAAAGCAGAGTTGTGACAACATTGTTCAGTGGGGTCTAGGAGTCTCCCCTGGTTAAACAATCATCCTTAGAATCATTTGCACGCCATTTCGAGACTCGCTCTTTCATTCGGGCCCAAAAAAACATTCACATCTTGTCTGACATCTCTGTTATGAACTTTGGTTTTGAACGCTGGAAGTAGAGTTCAAAACCAGAGTAGTGAGAACATTGTCCAGTGGGGTCTAGGAGCCTCCCCCGGTTGGCAAATCACCCTTAAAATCATTTGCACTATATTTCGGCATCCACTCCTGCACTCGGACCCCATCAGACAAGTATGAATATTGTTGAGAAAACGTTTACATAAAATGTAAAAAAATATTTATTTCATCTTTTATTTGCGTTTAGTTAACTATTTGTCAATTATTTATTTCATTTTTTATTTGCGTTAATCTAGACTGATATTCGTATTCAACGAATTAATATTTTGAGAAACTTATTTACTAGTCTACTATCTGCATATCACTTATCAATTGATTCGATGTGTCTAGTTTATTGTCGAGATTTAATTTAAGCAGTAAAAGTTGAGGGTACATGATCCCCCATATATCCACGGTAGAAATTACCTTGAATCCACGGGAAAACGTCCCGTACATCCACGGTCAAAGTTACCGTGGAGCGTGTGAATAGACACTGCCTTTTAATGATAAGTACTGCTGGAGAGTTAAATTTTGAATCTCAAAACGAGGTTGTCGCCCGGTGGCTTGGCGCAGTGGGTAAGTTCGTTGCCTCACATGCGAAAGGTTCCGAGTTCAAATCCAGGCCGGGTAGAATGGTGCGATCTAACCATTTAAAGTCTTGATCATCATCGCAGTATACCCTAACCGGGTCGAAGCGATGTAAAATAACGATTAAAAAAAAAACGATGTTATGGATCAATTGGAAGAAAATAAATTAAATATTTTCCGTGGCTGGACAGTAGCTGCAATAGTTGTTAAAAATTTAAATAAAAAAAAAATGAAAAAAAAACCAATAGACGACTGGACTTGTCCACTTATTATTTATAACGTACATACTGTAGAAAATAATTACTTCTGATTAAGAATAAAACATTTTTTTTTAATTCTCAGTCAAGAATGAAAAATTCGATTAGCTCGGTCCAAAAAATTTCGATGTTTGGGCATGAAAAATCAATGTTTTCGATTAATCCATAAACATCGCTCATCCCTACTTAGATAAAGGACGGTATGTCATAAATAATTAGATTTTCATTTTTCCAGTCATGCGAATTTCTTATTTATCAATTCTTCAATTGATCAACAATCGTCGCATTCACTGAATGAATTCCAACTAATCCATCCTTTTGAATATGATAATTATGTCAGTGCTCTAATTGTGCTTGTTGGCTCGATGCGTATGAAAAATACCTCTGACATCAATATCCTCTCACTCATTCATTCATATGTAATTTTGACTTCAATATCTGAAATATGATATTACAAAATTTTTTTTAGATACAGTTTCTCCATCATAATACGTCGTTTTATGCGTTCAAAATCATTTTCGTTCCACAGTTTCTCATTTTCTCGTAATTTATAGAACTTCCAATATAAATAAATGTCAATCAAGCCTAGATTATTGTCATACATTTCCAAACCTTCAATAGTAGAATCGGATTGAACGATTGTAGATGTGTGAGAGAAAGACCTCACATTGAGGCCATCGACAACTCCACTCGTATAATAGAGAAAGTCCTTTCAATTTCATTTTCAGAATGACCGTAATAATGAAAACATTGTGCTTCAATACTTTCAGCTCCATCCCCTTCATTTTCCAGATTACAATGTTTCGTGTAAAAAGTCAAAATAATGAAGAAAAATTGGAAAATTCATGGGAAAAGTGTCTGAGTATGCTGCATCATTGAGAATTCTTGCAAATTTTTTTCAGATCGCAGTTCCAAAAAAAAATGCAATTTGGATATTTTTGTAACCCCTACAGCGATAACCTCCGGAGTTACCCCATTCTCAATTAGGAAAATTTCCATGGCACCCAAAAAAATAATGAAATAATGAAAAAATATTGAGCAAAAAGTAGTGGGTGATAAATCAAATCATTCTTGATAACACGTATAATTTTCAGATGTTTTTCAGATTTCATAAGAAAGTTATTTGAACAAATGATTCAGAAAATTATGAGTTTCGGGGCAATTACGCCCTCTCGCGCGCAGGCGCGTGTTTCGAAAGTAAGTGAGCATCATGGGAAAGGTATGGGTTGGGCCATGGAACTGAGAGAGAGAAAATACTCGACAAGTATACCAACTTGAGACGCATTTTAATATTATGTCAATAATTAGAAAAACATCCAATAAAAATTATTTGACGCTAGTGGGTGATGAGAAAAAAATCAATCAATCTGATAAATAAAATCAATATTCAAACAATGTTCAAATGCACACTTAAATAGTTACTTGAAAATTGGAAAATTCTGTGCTCAGNCCCCCCCTCGTTTCCCCCCACAGTGATCAACACACGAAACACTTTACATTCAAGCCACAAATGGACTACAAAAGAGAAAATAAAAAAATAGATATGAAACTGACCCCCTTCCGTTTTACTTTCAATTATAATAATTAAAATTCAGAGACAATTTTTCAATTTCATTCGAGAACTATTTGTTAAATTCTCGTTTAAGGTTTGTAAATTTTTTTGATGGATGCATATTCCATTTTCTGGAGGAAAAACTTACAGAAGCTACCATACCTCTAATTGAATGAATTCAATCAATTTTTCCTACAAGGTAGATTCTGAGGGCATATGTACATTTGGAAACAATCCCGCAATCACTTATATCTTGACCAGCGATCAATGTCTCCCCTAGAAGATATTTTCGCAATAATCTACAATTCCTTGCTAAATTTGATCGACCAAGTAAATCGATGAACGTTGGTTGAAAATTTAACGAATGTTTGTCGAATGAAAGTGAAAAATCTTCTTCGAAATGTTAATTAATTGGTCGTTAAATTTCACCAATTAATTGGTGAATTTCACCAACCAGTTGTAGAAATTGACCAAATAATTTTCTCCTCGAAGAATCCGTGCAATGGATGGGAATTTCCCATTTTCTGTTCAATCAATTTCATCATCAAATTTTCAAACGAGAGATTTTTGTGATATTGTAAGTCCACGAGGAATAGAGGAAATAGCACCAGTTTGAACAGATTTTTTTCCGTTATCGAGTCCCTCTCGTAATTGTATTGAATCCATATATCTAGTGAGGGGAGAGGAAAAACTATGAGGGAGATTCGAGAACAAGATACAACCCTCGGGTGGTTACGGAATTCTTATACATTTACAAGTCAAATAGACGACCGTTTGGAGATTGAATTTCCCTCTTTTCCTTCTCCTCACTATCTCTTTCCCTCCGCCCCTCCGCCCACAGGTTTCTCTGCAAATCTAAATCTGGAAGTAAATCAACAGGAATGAAACATCGCGGTGGAGAGGATACGAATCGGATTATCTCATCCAATTTCCTTATAGCTGCTGCACAATGCCGAGTGGAAACATGTCAAGAGTAACTAGACCAATCAGAGAAAAATAAATGATGATTTACGTGGCTCCGTGTTTTATTTGCAGAACGAGGGGGATGAAACTCATGTTTTTCCCAGTCCTTTCGCCACTCCACTTGGGAACAAATAAATAAATCCAATTAAACCAATTAAATTCAACAATTTCGGTATAACGAATATTTTTCATGCTATTTGTTTGAATGGGCTGGGGTTATTGTTTAGTGGTCCATAATTGGTAGGGACTGTTGTCATCATTTGTGATGATTGCCAAGCCATCACGTTGATCTGTCAAGTTATTAATTCGATTTAAAAAATCCAATCAACTGATGAAATTTGATAAATGGATGCGGGGATGAGGAACAATTTCGCTCATGATTGAAAAGATTTCCAAGGTTCTATGGCCGATAAACAGGAGAAAAAGTTATGGGTGTCTTGAATTTATGGAGGAATCGATTCTGCGAGAAAAAATTGGGGTTACCAAACGTTTTAACAAGATCAATTTTTCGTTCTCAACAAGTAATAATGGCTGTGGTAAGAAAAAGAGGGTAATATAAAGTGTATTAAGAATTTTATTGTCCATAAGATTTTCAATCAATTTTTCTTGCTGATATTTATTGGAAATTTCACAATTTTTGCGCTCGTTCTCAGCGGACATTATTCGATAGACTAAAAGGAAGAACGTATAGAATAATATAACTAATTCTCGCCTGGGCTGCCGCCAAGTTCACGTTTATCTACGAAGGGAAAGGGATGCTTCTCCTAGGTTAGAAATCTACTATTTTTGAGGCGAATATACAGTAGAGGCTTAGTATAAGATACCTCTCTATAAGATACCTCGCGCTCCGAGCGTTCAAGACCTACCCCCACTCTCGGCACTTTTATCGCTTCCCGAATGTTTATGTTCCGTGGGCTTCTTATAAGATACCTATGGCCTTTTTTTTCAATGGGAAAAGAGTAGTTATAAGGATTAAACGGTGTTAAGGGTCAAACGGGAGGGACGAACGAAGTGATCATGAGGGTCTAATGACCTTAAGGGGGGATCACACCACTTTTTTTTCAAGTAATGGAAATATACATCGATTTTTTTTTTCACTTTTCCCATCGACAAATCGTAATTTTTTGTCTGTGATTATTCTCGAGTCCACCAACCATCTCCCAACATCAGCTGCCATTCTATCATGCAGGGTTATGTTTGGAGAGAAAAGAGAACGCAAGCGATACAAATTCAAAACACATATAAACTAATTAGTTATCGATATTCATTCAGTAAAAATGAACATTTCATTGAATTCGGGTGCAACGAGCGAAGTATCTTATTTGAAACCCGCTGAATCCTATTTTTCTTCTCACTATGGGTGCGCGTAGTGGGGGCATAGGGGTTTCCAGAATTCCACTCTCCTACTGTCCCTAAGGTATCTTGTACGAAGCCTTTACTGTATCAGCTCCTGAGGGCAAATTGCTTCACACATGAAAACATTTAGATTTTTTATGTGGATGTGTCTATGGTTTCATTATCGGGAATCATTTTGGGAAGAAATTTTTATGCCGCGACACCATTCATCAAAATTCTAAAAAATTCTACACTGATAGAAAGGATTAGTTATTGTTAACGAATGGATTTGGTTGGAGACCAGCGTTTGTTTGGTCTCACCATATGTTAATTCGTTAATAGTTTGCAAATGCACATTTGAGGAGCCTTGCCTGACTCGATTTTCAATTTTCAAGTGAACCATTCGTTAACTATTAGCGAATATTCATTTAGTCATATCCAACTCTACCATTCTTTAATAGTTAACGAATCTCGTTTGGAATAAATGAATCAATCTATCAGTGTACACATAGAACAACCTAAACGGAAGTTATGTTTAAGAAGTCGTCTTTTACGTTTTCTGAAGCGTATTTTACGCTCACAATGGTCGTAAATTACGATTACATAAACGTAATTTACCATTTCGTATTCGGAAATTACAATCACTTAAGCGTAATTTACAGTTTCGTATTCGTAAATTACGATGATTTTTCCGTATTTTAGGTTTACCTATCTGCCATTAACGACGAAGGAAAAATAGTATATTACATTCCAAGTGTGAATAAGGGGGGAATGTTAACACTAGTGGGGTATATATTTAGGAAGAGTCGTAGGACACGCGCAGCTAAGCGATATAGTCCAGTCAATGAAGGTGTTTGGACCCTCGCTAATTCGATTATGTGAGAAAAATGATCAATCTATGAACAGAAATGTACTGAATAACATATCAATGGTCAGAGAATGTTAAAACGGCGTATCATTTTAATTGATTAAAAACCATTGATTTTCTAACTGTTAGCGTTAATTCCAAAATAAAAAATACCAGCGGGTAGAGACGAAAATTATCTATAAATTTGAAGTAGAACTCAATATTTTATGATGCATCGTTTTTACATAAAAGAATTCCAAATCTCTCTTAATCTTAAGAAAAATACCACTTTATGCACAAAAATCTGTCAACAAAAAGGGACTTTTCCAAGCACGTGTTTCAAAAATTAAATTTTTGTGTCATCTTCAATTTTCTTTTATCTAGTTGATTAATTTCCTTCAAATACATCAGTTCCACTCTATTGAATATTCTCGCGTGAAACATAATTCTTCGGCAGAACCAATTTTTGCGCCGAATGTCCTGGGCGACAATTTTTCCAACTATACAAATTGCGCCATGTTTATGATATTAGCACATTAATTCAGTAGCGAAATAGTAAAAGGAGATAAGTCAATTTTGACTATTGACCAGTTTCCAATCAATATCTCGGAATCTAAGGGAGATAGCAAAATTGTTTTGTAACCTTTTTTGTGGAGCCGATTGAGTGCTATCACAAATGTAAGTACAAAAATTTCGCTATCTCCCTTAGATTTGGAAATATTCCTAAAAAACTCATCTCCTTTTACCACTTCACTACTGAATTGTTCTAATTTTGTTAATTTCAAAGTGTAATTCGATTCAATTATTATCGTAATTACTACAAAGGTTCATGAATTATATTGCTCCAGAATTTGGATGCCCTCCACGACCACTTGGGCACCCTCTACCCCGGGATGAGAGCCCCCTCATTCCGCTGCACAGAGAGACCCGAGGACGGTGCCCTCGTCCTCCACTACTACTCTGATCGCCCGGGCCTGGAGCACATTGTCATTGGAATAGTCAAAGTAGGTCCAGCACAGGTAAACGAAATCTGGGATGAAAATAAAAATCGATTCCTCCTATGAATCCCCAGACAGTGGCCAAGAAATTACACGGGACAGACGTTGACATGCAAATACTCAAGACCAAGGATGAGTGCGATCACGTCCAGTTTTTGATAACAGATACATCGGCTCCTGGGGTCACTACCAAACCCATCACTGCTGAGCTGGAGACATTATCAGTTGGTAAAGCATTCAATTCGACTACCTAAATTTAGTAATTAGTAGCAGGAATACTCATATTCATAAATCATAATTCCCGTTAGTTTTAAAGCCATCAATTAGGTAACATCACTCACAACTGTTGAATTATTTAAGTAATCATCAATTCAAATATTCAAATTCTGAATTATTTTATTTATCAATAATTTAATTAGGAAGATTGGCGATTATTTGGTTAATCGAAGATCCCTTTCACGAAATTAGAATTATTCACTTAATGGAAAATTTACAGTTCCATATTATCAAATATTTAATTCATCATCAATCGGAAATTTAAATTATCAATATTATACTATTTCAAAACTTTGATGAGTATATTCATATTTTTATCAGTGTAAGTCGGAAATCCTTTTAATATTGAACAAATGTAATATTGAAGGCCATTACTGATTAGTAGAGTGAACGAAAAATTTGCAGTTTTGTGAATTTTATATTGCCAAATTAAAAACGAGTTGATTCATAAAAAATTATGTTGTTATAATAAAAATCAGGTTCAAATTTTGATAAACGTTTTATTTATTTGAACGCAATAACGTTTTTTTATTTCAAATCGACATTTCTCAAGCTGTACACATGAAGTGAAAATTTCATAACTTCCGCCAATTTCCAGTTGCACATGAACATTCCTTGTGACATTCAGGTGGACTTTTAATTAAGGATATCCAAGTACTTTAACTATTTTTTCTCCGGCGAAATGCGTCTCTACTTTTATAGTCGAACATCAGAGCTTTTATTTGGGCCCCTTTGACCCTAAGTTTCCGGACATTTTACAGTGATTTGAATTTTAATCTCATTGAATTTTAATCTCAATATTAAACCGCTAGAAAACATTTTTAAAATTTTAAACAAATTATGAAGTTTACTTTTGACGGAAGATTGATGAAATAATTAAAAAATTGTAATTTTAGAAAATTACGAGCATTTTTTATAAATAATTTATAAAAAATTAATTGTCCACCATGAAAATCATTTGTTCGGAATCGTCACAAATTTATTCATATTCAGAATTTTATCAGAAATCGATTTCATGCCTAAAAAAATGAGGTTTCCGAGTGTTCAAACAATTTCAATTTATTATATATAAAATGTAATTTGAATGACGCTGAATATTCATGATTTACCCAAATTTTTCTCGCGCAATTCAACTGACAAATTTGATGATTGAAAATGGTCGAATCTATAGTGTGGTCTGTACCAAGCTGTAAAAGATATTTGGATATCCACCAATTTTCATAGAAATATTGAACTGAACTTCACTACTTCCATTGATTTTATCCTTAAAAAGTGATGTTTTCCTAACAAGATTTCCTGAAATATCAGTTGGGAACTCCAACTTGCAATGCCACTTTTCCAAAATTTTCGATATTTGCACGGACGAAAAAATTTGATAGAGAAACCTATCGAATTTGTTAGAAAATTCTATTGAATTTCTATTGAATTGTTCTGCTAGTTTTTGGCCGATTCTATTGAAATGTTCAATAGAACATATTCAGTAGAGAAAGTCAATAGAATTCAATTTTTCTATATAACTTATTCTATTGAGATATTTTCTATAGAATTTTCTAGGCTCAAATTTTCTAAGTTTTTTCGTTTGATTTTCTTGATGAGAAGAAAATAAAAATAGAATGAAAAAAACTTTTTCTATTGAATTTTGTCTATTGAACATGTCAGTAGAATCAGCCAAAAGCTAATAGAAAGTTCAATAGAAATGTGGGATACATATTTTAAGTGAATGAGTGTTAGTGGGGAAAAACATAGTGAAGGGAAAACGCCATGAGGGGAGGTGGGAAAAGGCCTGATGGAATATTTTGGGAAAGCCGAGGATTAAGCCATAAAACGACAGTCCGGGCCCGAGTTCTATAGCCGCGACGGGTCAACGGGGAAATACGCCGGAGTGTCTGTCCATCGGGGAAGTACCCGGCGGAATTGAGAGAGCGGGGGTTAGATTATAAAATAATAAAGTGAGGTTTGGGCCTGAGTGTAATTTCGTGAGTGAATAGAATGAGTAAATAGTAGAGTGAGAAAGATTGAGTGGAAAATAGAATGAGAAGGAATGAGTGTGAACGTGAGTGAGAAAGACGAGGATAACAAAGGACACTTTTAGCATTTAAGGACGAGCAAATGATTAGGGGAGTTAGTTGTTAGCCGGAGTTCGTAGTGTCAGGTTAAGACTTGTATATTTATGTACTTGAATATTTAACTTTCTTTTCAATGAATAAATCGTATCATATATTTTATTAAAATTACTGTCATGAATCCTACAGAAATTCAATAGAATTTTCTAACGAATTGGATAGGTTTTTCTATTAAATTTTTTCGTGCGTCTGTACTCGACATTTCAGAGAAAAATTCTATTTATCAATCAACTTCAAATAAACTTAATAACATGATCGTAAAAAAACATGACCGAAAAAATTATGGTATAATCTGTGACGTATTGGGTCGACCAATACGTCGTTTTTGTTGAAATTAACACCGGACGTGCTCAAAAGGCCTGGGTGGAAGAAAGGAGAAATATGATTTCTCTTTCTTCGCATCCAGACATGCCATCAGCAGTCCCAGGGTGTCTTCTATCACCAAAACGGTAAGCAATCTCACGGTTTTCTGCAAGCCCAGCTCAGGCGTTTGAACCGAGGATTACTAGTGGTAGTAATTCATGAGCACAAAATGGCATTTGGTGCAGAAAACCGTGGGACCGCTTAGGTCTGCAAAATTGGGACTTGAGCGAGTCGCGAGGGCTCTGGAACGACAAGAGTCCAGTAGAGTACGACCAGGAGCGGAACAGAGCGGACCTCTGAGCTCCCAAATTAAGCCATAAGTCCGAGTCCTAATTCGCGTCGGACCGCGGAGTTAATCACGCGTATACCGGCCCATTCCAATCGACAAAGTGTAGCGAATCAATATTTNTCCCAAATTAAGCCATAAGTCCGAGTCCTAATTCGCGTCGGACCGCGAAGTTAATCACGCGTATACCGGCCCATTCCAATCGACAAAGTGTAGTGAATCAATATTTTAACTATATATATATATCCTTATCACTTAAACCGCGAGTGTTCACTAGGGGTTAACCCCCTTGACCATCCCTCATATCCCTCCAAGTGAGCGAATCTCCCGTGAGCTCACCGGCGAGCTAGCCAAGGATAGAGGAGTACAGAAAACCAGCGGCATCTCCATCAACAGTGGACCTTTAGAAGAGGAGGGTCCAGGAGGGCGAAGCAGAGGGTCCCTGTACGAGTGACACAAGACGATATCAACATAGGGTACGACGGCCCTAGGAAGGAAGGGCTGATTTCTACTTGTGACTAGTCCCAGGGACTAGTCACATGTTAGATCACCCAGGATTAATGCGGTGGGTGATCTAAGTCAAAACGTCACATTGGCGCCCGACTAGTTTTGGCATTCATGACGAGTGGAGTGCGAGGACATAAGAAACTAGTGAACTAAAATTATGTGATGTTTCTCCAACAAGAGGATTACACAGAAGAAACAAGTGGGTTCGGTATAGTGCGTGAAAAAGTTCAAAATTCAAAAATTGGCGAAGCTGGCATTGCCGTGGAATAACATGGGATTAGTGAATTAAACGTATCGAAAGTCCCGGGGACTTTGTCGGTACATCGAGCGTCATGATCTGGAAGAAGGGTTCCAGAGACACGGAGTATTGGATCAGCAAAGGTAGAGCTCGATCCAGTACGCGACTGAAGAAACGTCGCTAAGCCTAGGGATATCACAGAGAGATTCTGTTGACAAGGGGACGCTCGTACAGCGGTCCCGCAGTTCGGATGACATTAAAATTCACGTTCCACAAAAATTGCCATGGAATCGGACGCTTTCACCAGTTACGGGACTTGGACTTCATCGTACTACTCATCACCATCAGCCATGAGGGATGAACAACGGATTCCAGTGATTGGCAGCTCAACAGGAAATGAGGTATGGACATCAGAACAAATTTATGGACTGCATTGGCAACAATTTGCAGTGAAGAAGTCGCTGCCGGAATCAAGAAGATCCAAGTATGACGCCATTGCAGAAGACATGGTAGCAAAACATTTGGATATTTATGCAGACAGAACTGCCATATTTCATGGAAACGAGGAATTGACAACTCAAAATAATGTGGATATTTCCGAGTGTTGTAAACAATTCGCAGAAGACATATCAAACTCAAATGTGACCCCGGACACCAAATTTCATCAGGAATTGAGATTAAAGAAGGGGGTGAAACGCGCCGAGTGTTGCGAAAAAATCAGTGAAAAATTCAGTGGACTCAAATATAATTACAGATTATAAAATTGAGAGAAAAGCCGAAATCTCCAGCAGTGACAAGTTAATTCTTGAAAGGAGTGAATCCGAAAAAGATAATAGTGCGGTTTCATTGGAAATCATTTCAGTGACAGTAGACATTAAATCACAAAGTGTACAATTTCAACGTCTTGACCCTGCAGTCTACATACCTCCGCAAACTGTGGCAAGCGTAGACTCGGAGATAAGGCCTCTGTTACTCGATCCAGGAGAAATGCGAGTGTCAGCTGATGTCCAAGCAGCCGAGACTACAGTTCATCGACATGCCTCACCTGATTCATCTTCTGGATTGAGTGGAAAAGCCTCACCGCCATCAACCATTACGACAATCAATTTTGGAATACGTGAAAAATTAGTGGAGTGTGAGTCTGCCCTCCAAGAAATGGACAAAATGGATAAAACCAATGCAGACAATGATATAAATTTATCGAAAGTGAACGGTACAAATGTGCAATTTTGGAAGAAACGACAAGTNGAAAGTGAACGGTACAAATGTGCAATTTTGGAAGAAACTACAACAGCCACTGAAATCAGACTTTTTAAGAAGTGCAGCGCTCGAAAGTGCAGTGAGCGAAAGGTACGTGGCGATAAGACCTCTGTCACTTGATCCATGGGGATTATTATCACCAGCTGGCCTGAGTGCCATCAAAACACCTATGAATCAAGGTCTCCGGGAGATGCGACGTCGGTCATTTGATCCAGGGGGGATCATTGTCATCAGCTGACCGATAAGCAGCCAACAACAGCTGAAAAACATCCTCTAGATGACTCCTAGCGAAGCTGGCACGAGGGAACGAGACAACGAGTGGTTCGAAGAGACGAACCCGAAAATACTGGAAGTNAGTACCAATAATTGCGCGCGGGAGAATTTGAGCATGAGTCTTACGAGACATTCTCATAACCAAAAAAAAATTTTTTTTCATGACGATAGTGTGATAATTGTTATCATTTCAAATCAAAATTTAGTTGACACAGAAGTTACTCAAAAAGCTTGTAGAAAAAAAAAGAAGCAAAACAAAAATATTAATTTTCCGTCCGGAGATTTCAGTTTATTAGCTTGCAGAATATGAACATGTTGCATTGTAGAAAACTCATATTGATTCAATTATGATTCTTGACGAAGTAAATAATTAATTGCGATTCCAAAACATATGAATTTATATCCAGTTTAATGTACGCAGGGTATACACAAATAAAAAGAAGGACTTGACTATTTATCAGTCTCTTACAGACACTTATTTTGGAATTAGCGAAGTGCATTCAAATATTATCGAAAAAAAAAATTGGAATTTAAATTATACGTTCTACTTGTGAGAAAAATGAGAGAAAACAAAAATGAATCACGAAAGAAATACAATAAGGATTGTCACCCAATGTGAGGTACAAAAATTAAAAAAATTTATGTATAACAAATGTTTGTAAGGGTTTGGCCAATTAGGTTTTTCAGTAAAATTGAAATTCAGGTTGACGTTTGCTCATAAAGCACCAAACTTTATGGAAATATTTAAGTTCATGCAAGCTATTTGCATTTAAATCAGAAAAATTGTTTTGCCCTTAAGGCTACCTGTATGACAGGGAAGTTGATAGCCCATCAGGCATAGGCAGGCCCATCAGGCACCAGTAGGCAGATCAGGCAAAGACTTGAAGAAAGTCTTAATAAATAGTGTTACTATTGTATCCCAAAGGATAACAATAGTTTTATCAGGGGAGTGTGACGTATTGGGTCGACTAATACGTCGTTTTTGTTGAAATTAACACCGGACGTGCTCAAAAGGCCTGGGTGGAAGAAAGGAGAAATATGATATCTCTTTCGTCGCATCCAGACATGCCATCAGCAGTCCCAGGGTGTCTTCTATCACCAAAATGGTAAGCAATCTCACGGTTTTCTGCAAGCCCAGCTCAGGCGTTTGAACCGAGGATTACTAGTGGTAGTAATCCATGAGCACAAAATGGCATTTGGTGCAGAAAACCGTGGGACCGCTTAGGTCTGCAAAATTGGGACTTGAGCGAGTCGCGAGGGCTCTGGAACGACAAGAGTCCAGTAGAGTACGACCAGGAGCGGAACAGAGCGGACCTCTGAGCTCCCAAATTAAGCCATAAGTCCGAGTCCTAATTCGCGTCGGACCGCGAAGTTAATCACGCGTATACCGGCCCATTCCAATCGACAAAGTGTAGTGAATCAATATTTTAACTATATATATATATCCTTATCACTTAAACCGCGAGTGTTCACTGGGGGTTAACCCCCTTGACCATCCCTCATATCCCTCCAAGTGAGCGAATCTCCCGTGAGCTCACCGGCGAGCTAGCCAAGGATAGAGGAGTACAGAAAACCAGCGGCATCTCCATCAGCAGTGGACCTTTGGAAGCAGAGGGTCCAGGGGTGCGAAGCAGAGGGTCCCTGTACGAGTGACACAAGACGACATCAACATAGGGTACGACGGCCCTAGGAAGGAAGGGCTGATTTCTACTTGTGACTAGTCCCAGGGACTAGTCACCTGTTAGATCACCCAGGATTAATGCGGTGGGTGATCTAAGTCAAAACGTCACAAATCAAAATCAATTTCAAATTTTAATGAAACCTTTATTTATTTGACTCTAATAAAATTCATTCAATTCAAATCAACTACTTCTCTGGCTGTACACATGAGGTGACAATTTCCCAACTTCCTCCAATTTCCAGTTGAACATGAAAGTCCCTCATCAATTTCAGCTGGATTTTCAATTAATTAAAATCTGAAAATCATATTCATTCGAATTCCACTAATTGTCATAGAAACATTGACCTTAAATTCATTACTTCCATTGATTTCATTATCAACATGTGTTTATTCCTTGACAAGATTTCCTGAAATCTCAGTAGAAATGTCACTTGTCAAAATTTTTCGAAAGTTATACCGGAAACTTCAGAAAAAAATCCATTTACCTATTCTAATTTATTTTCCTTCACTCCGGCACTAAATCAAGACAATGATCAATCAACTTCAAATAAACTCGAATAACATAATCGTAAAAAAAATTATGTAATCATCACAATGTTTTTCTAGAACCAAAGGTCAGCCCTGCGACGTTCTGTCGAGTATTTCCCTTTCACCTGATGTTTAACCGTGACCTAACGATAGTGCAAACCGGCTGTACAATAACCCGAGTCATTCCTCAAGTGACAACTGGCAGCTGTAAACTCAGTGACATCCTGCTGACAGTGAGTAACCATAACATTTCATTATTTCACTTTCTTCAGCTGATCAGTGGTTCCTGCAAGGTGCCTTGACATATCGCCGACAGTTCTATTGAACCGTTACTTGAATTATGTGGCCGCGGTGATCCCCCCAAATCCACCAGTCTTTTGGTGATAACGCCAGGAACATACGTTTTGTGAGATACAAAAAAACGCAAGGGAGGGAATGACTATCGGCAAGAGGGAGTAGGGTCTTTTCCGTCCGATATTTGACCATCGATGGAGTCAATCATTGGCGCCGACCCGAAGAGTTTCCATTGACATTTGGGGTTGTGTGAAAGAAATGAAAGGGATGTTTTCTATTCTTCCTATCTCTAATGGGTCAAATATCGAAGCTTGTGTTGACGTAAAGGACCCACTGTCGGAACCACTCGTTGAGTGTATGAGGAAGAAATAGATATGCTTCCTGTTATTGCCACCCTCTTCTGCCAGTTAAAGATCTTCCGCAGTAAATTTTGAGGCTATGGAGTGGGGGAAAATATCAAAGGTTCCGACTATCCGCTGTATCTTTGAAAAAAAAAATAATGAAATGACGAAAAGTTCACGGATGTATTGAAATTTCTTCGTTTGGGTTTCTTTGCACTTATTGTTCATGATTAATCTGTTCCAAATAATTTTTATCCCGAAAGATTATTTATCCGAATTTTTTAACAAATACAAATTTTCATGAGAGATTTGACAACCACGCATTTTTGTTCGACGCAGTTGGTATTCTTGTGTCCCGATAAAATCCTATACTACACTATAGAATCTACAGTATATGCCTTGGAGGAGTTCACACGATGGACTCCGCCGCGCGCACTCTAACCTCCCTCAACGTTGCCATGTTCAGCCATCAGTTTCCTCTAACGTAACTAAAATCCCGAACTATGCCATACATTTTCAATAATTACAACTAATGCCTGTGGTGACGGCTAATATTCGTGAAGCGTGTGGTTTTTTATTCCATTGTCGATTATTTTTTGTGATTTTTGAGAAAGTGGTGCCATAAGACGCCGTGTTGGTGACACATTTTTCAGATTTTCTCCACAGTAATCTACGTGGTTCAGCATTTTAGGACTTCGGGAGGATATTTATAATTACTCGAAGAATATATTCTCAAAATTTCAGCTTTACAGTTCATTTCCTTCTACTCCCATATGCTTACTGCGGAAGCTTCTTAATACCAGGTGGAAAAATAACAGCTTTTGTATATATGGCCTTTATGTACACTGAGAGAAAAAACTACTTTTGACAAAGAAAATTTATCTGATGCAAGAAAATATTTTCTTGTCAATTTTATAAATCGAGAAATCTCGTAAATAATTTCGTTCTCAAACTGAGAGAATTTTAAAAAAGAGAATCCGTTCGGAAACAAATTGTTAATTTATCAGCAACAACGACTATACTCATGCATTTTTAAAATTCCATTATCCACTTGTTTTCATTTTCTTTTTTCAATTAATTCGTTCGCGTATTTTTTCTCGTTTCGCTCTTTTTTTTCTAAATTTCCATTGTTTTGTAGAAGGCGCACTCAACTCTTCCATTTACTTGTTATAGTATATTGTGCATCAAGGGCGGAAAGTCATGTTTTCCCGCCCGAGGTGCACATGTTATTTTTTAACACGCCTGCAAAGGAAAGTTCGTATTTTGCTCTTTGATGAGCGGGAGGAAAGTACGAACTTTCCGTGCAGCTGTGTGAAAAAAAATTTTTTTTTCACTAGTCATGGAAACGGTTGATTAGCCAGAAAATGCGGAATAAGATGCAGTGGTTTGGAGCCGTGGTGGGAAGGGAGGAAAGCGGAGAAACGTATAGGCTGGGTTCGAAAGCTTTTTCATGTGAGGATCACGAAGTTGTAAAACCTTCTGACCTCAGTGCCATTAGTAATTCGAACTGGCTTCAACGTGATAATATTAACCTTCACACTGTGGTTTGCTTTTCCAGGTCAGACCGCACTTGGAACTTACATTTGAAAATATATTATCGCACATTAATACTGTTTACGTGCTTAAAACCAAGAAGGGAGTGATGAAGGTGGAGGCGTCCGAAGAATTTTCAAATTTACGGTTGAAGGTAATGTTAGCTTAGTCATTAAATTTTTTGGAAATTTTTCCGTTATTCCTTGTTCAGCTCCATTAAAATCCAATGGAAATTTTATTCAGTTTTGAGGGATCGCTTCATTCTTAATGAATGTTGTATTTATTCATTGAACACATTATTTATTTAAATTGAGAAAGCAGAGATGGAGATGATTTCGCAAATATTTTTAAGAATCATAGGTTTAGAAGAAAACATCGACAAGCCAGCTTTATTCAACTTGGAAAGGGAGCGCGCTTCGCACGCTTAATTGGCTAGTGACTTATACTTATTAGTTTTTATCGTAATATATTCGTCGGTGTATTCATTTATTCATTAAAAAAGAGTTAATGTTCGCTTTTATTAAGCTTCGATTTGAGAAAAAATTTGAGAAATGATCTTTAAAAATTTGCACAAGGAAAAATTTACGTTGTAAAATTTAAGAAATTAGGTGCATCTGACAGTGAAATCGGTGAAATCACCCATTTTCCAAGTGTGCAAATAAAAATTTTTCGAAAGAAACTGTCTACTTTCGAAATTCACATTTTTTTGTTTTGTTTTTGTGTTTTTAAACGTTATTCTTGTTTTTCAATGTGTATGTAAATTTATTGTTCATAACAATGCTATAAACATTTTTGTTATATCCAAACGTTTTTGCAAATTTGAATGTTCGAATATTCAACGATATTTTTCCCGTTCATCTTTCCTGCATAGCTTAGCTACCACATATATATGTATAGTAAAGCAAAAATTAAAAAAAACATTTATCTGTTTAAATTTTTTCAAATACATCTTTATTCATAAGCTAAAATAACCTTGAAATATTCCTAAGTCCACCATATGCTTGGCGAAATAGATTGCTAACCGAAAATGTTTCACCTTTTTCTTAATCGAGGAATATTTATAGAAGCTTTTCACGAAAAGCTCTCTGTCAAAAATATTCGCATTCTAATAATTAACAAGAAATGAGATCAGTCTCACCATCAGTGGAATGATTAGAAGATCATTCATTAAATTTATTTCCTCTTTTGGAATGACAGCTTGTTCTGCAGCAAGACATTCCTATTCTAAAAAGAACATATGCCGTAAGCTATAGCGTAACGCTCATTCCTCGAATTTCATTGGTCGAACATTCGGATCCGCCCGCACGTGTTCGACTTCGGTCGGCTTTCGGTTTTCGTGTCACGATTTGTCTTTAACACGCGGGCTCAAGCGCGCGATCGTTGTCGTCGATTACAAATGTAAAAGCAAAAATCGCATAAACACGTATGCATAAAACCATCCCATCATCCCATTATCTCCAATTACCCCTAAATGGCATTTCTCAGGCACGGTTTTATTTCTTTCAGGGTCAAATGCTGTATATACCAGAATCCGACTTAGTAATCTTCCTGTGTTACCCAAGCGTAATGAACCTCGACGATCTCACAAGGTAATTTTCTCGTTCAGTGTGCTCTCCCTACTTTCCTCTTCCACTAATTTATTGTCAATTGAACCGATAAATCATGAAAGCCCCGTGAATTCCCGGCACTGTTGAAAATTTTTGCCTCAAATTACCAGTACACTTCTTCAAAGTCTTTATCAAGAGACATATTCGTGAAAATTTTGAACAATTTCGTCGATGAAAATTCGTTGTTTGATGAAGAAATCAATGGAAACTGGAAATTTGAGTTGTATTGTTCCACACTGGGAGAATATAAAGAGTTGTTATCATTTTTTTAAGCCATGACTAATGACGATTTTTTGAGTGATCGTTGAAAAATCGATTTTTGCAAAAATATTAATTTTTTCAAATCTGTATGAAAAATTAAATTTTGATTGGTGTTAATGAATAAAGCTTATTAAAGTCTATAACTCTCTATATTATAGAAATTCAAATCGACTTCTGGTAATAAAAATTTGGTACTCGAAATTAAGACTTTACAATTAAGGCTCAAAAGGATTAGAATAAGTGTCTCAAGGGTTAGATTAAGGGTGAGATTAAGGATTCAAATACGGGTCACAAGGGTCAGATTAAGGATCACAAAGGTAAAATTAATGGTCCAAATAAGGATCATGGCGTGAGATACGGGTCAGAAGGGCCAAAATAAGGGTCTCTATATTATAAAAAACCAAACCGGCTTCTGCTGATAAAAATTTGGTGCTTGAAATCAAGATTCCAAAATTAAGGGTCATAAAAGTCAAAATAAGGGTCATGAGGGTCAGAATAAAGGTCATGGGGGACAGAGTAAGGGTCATGAGAGTTAGAATAATAGTTCAAATAGGGGTCACAAGAGTCAAATTAAAGGTTGCAAAGGTCAGATTGAGGGTCCAAATAAAGGTAACAACGATCAGATTTAGGGTCTAAATAAGGGTCACAACGATTAGATTAAGGGTCACAAAGGTCAGAGTAAGGATCGTAGAGGTCATATGGGGATCCTGTACAGACAATTACTAGAGTTGTAAGTGACTAATTTGTTTTTATTACAATAGATTTTTAGAATTTGGAGATGACATAAGTCGAATACTAGTGTTATGGTTTTGATGTTTTGGTTATCGGTTAGAAAAGCTGTCAAATATAAGTTACTGCCTTTGGTGGAAAATAACAAAGGTTTAATGATAAGAAATGAATTAGGTGAGATAAATTACCTCAACTTTGGTTTTTATTTACTCATAAAGTGCAGCAGTGGGACAGAATTGTAATAGATTATTTTTATTTTTGTCCTGTTGTTTAGATAATAAAGTTGCCCTGAAGAGGAATGCATTCAGCACTCGAAACGTTGGCAAAGAAATTAGGCTGAGTTCAGTTAATTTTTAATATATATATATATATATATATATATATATATATATATATATATATATATATATATATTTTGCATACATGACCGCATAATGGTCCCAGGAAGGAGTTTATTGTATTAATTGAAGCGGTTGAAACAACGTGAAGAGGATCCTGTAGAGATCATATGGGGTTTGGCAAGCGGAGCGAGCAGGGGGCGTTCCTCCTAGTTCCTGAAAAAATTAATGATATTTGATTGGTATCTTGTGAGAAAATTTCGAAAATAAATATAAAGAAAACGGACCACATATTATACCCATATACATATCGGCATACATACACATAGACACCATCTAAAAATCGCATATTCTGACTTTTTAGACCATATTTAGTTACTTTAACACCAAAAATTAGAATCTTAAATTTAAGCGATTACAAAGCTTCCATTTGGCAGCAAAAATTTGGAACTCCATTGGATTTTTCGGGAAATTTGAAATTTCATGATTTTTCCCCCAAAATGGAATAAAATATAACTCTTCCAAAGATTAGTACCGCACTGTCCATTAGATTGCATTTTTTTCTGCCAGTAAATGATGAATGCGAAACGAACAGACACATGATCTCCTCACTTCCCTCATGCAAACGACTATCCACTTGTCCGTTATAACCATGATATTTTATAACTGGATTCAAGTAACATGATTCAACTCGTCTAACTTCTGAGTAATTCCTCCGCGTCGGGTGGAACTTGAAGAGATGCCGGGGGGTGAGTTGTTGCATTTCCCAGAAGGAAAATCCTCCCAAGTTGGGTCGTAACAAGTTTCAAAGTGTTTGACGAAATTTATGTGGCGCGTGCGAGGGTTGGAGGGACGTGTTACATGCTCAGGGTAAAGGGTACAGGTTTATGAGAAAACATAAAGTGTTTTAAATTTTGTTGGTTCAAGGAATTTCGCGTGGGATGTTTCTGGAATATGACGAAATTTCGCCATGTTTACGGCTGAAAAAATAGGAAGCTCACCGTTATTTATTGCTGGGGATACTTACCAATACTCCAGCGTGTTCGAAACATTCTTAATCCGTTTGGTTTTATCGCAACGGAATATTCAATTAAATTATACAAAAAAGTTTGTGATAAATTCAGGAATAATATTGGAAAATTTTGATCATGTTGAATTTGTGCGTTGTTGAGTTTCATACTGAACTTTCGACTAAAAATTTACTTTTCATTTCAATTGATGAATCTTAAAACTTGTATTCAACAACAAATAAAGATTTCAAGATAATCAAAACAAACTGAAGAGATGAAATCAATTTTAAATATCGTATACTTCTAAAGAGCAATCAAAACTGTAAACGCTAAACACACGCGGGCAGTGTATGGAAAATTCAGCAACGCTCGAGCATAAATAACAGAACGGCGAATCCCCGCGCAGGTGACCAGCCCGAGTGGAAATTCCGGTCAGGTCTTGATCAAGTTTGGATCAGGCTAGACCTGACCACTGATCAGGTGTTGATCAGGTTGACGGATCCGGTCTTGATCAGACATGTTACGCCTCTGACCAATCCGGATTTGATCAGGACGAATGGATTCGAACTTGATCAAGTCAACTGTATGAAAACCACATGACCTGTCTGTCTGTGTCATTAACAATTATCAATGGTAATTAATCCAAAACAAAACATAATTCAATTCTTCCACCGTAGGCCGCCTCTGTTAATGAATCTCTACTGTTATTACCTCTGAAAAAGCTTATTATTTTTTTACTAATGCTGGGGATCGAACCGGGGACTCTATGATTGTTAATCCTATGCCCTAACCACTACGCTATCGCGCTATTACTATTGAGTAAACTGTACATTGCTTATATAATTTGTATCGGGGTATTCGTTGAATTTACGATTATTCCTGATCTCGCGGATGTGCGTGTGTATTCGCAGAGATAAAATATGCTCAATTAAATTTTTATTCATTTCATTCATGAATAATAATAATGATAATAACAATAACACTAATAAATAAATAGACATTTGGTGATTTTTTGTCTCAAGATCATTTGTGTGTAAGTTTGATACTCCTCTAATACGTATTTTCGGTATCATCATCTCTCCCTTATGTACATTTGAGAATGGCTGGCTGTTAATTAAATTGATTAATTAAATTAAATTAATTTAGTTTATTTTAATTATAGTATAATGATCCTTCTTAAAGATTGAAAATAATTATTGATAAAGGTTAATAAAACTTAATTTGAATAGTATAATAATAGTTAATTAAATTATCCGAAAAACTTATTAAAATTAATGTTAGGTGGACCGGATCTAAATCTGATCATTTTCTCTTCAATTGACCGCGTTCAAATGCCGATCAAAGTCATCAAATCAGAATTTGATCAAATTGGGGTCAGACAGCTGACCTCAGGGTGAGATCGTGCCTACCTGATCAGAACTTGATCTGAATCATCTTGCAGTTTTCCGGATCCTGGATACTGGATCAAAACTTGGTCAGGTTCTCATCAGGCATCATCTGATCATTTCTACCTGATCAGAACTTGATCTGAACCCGCCTGCAGTTTTTCGGATTCGATCTGCTGGATCAGAACTTAGTCAGGTTCTCATCATGCATCATCTGATCATGTCTACCTGATCAGAACTTGATCTGAACCCGCCTGCAGTTTTTCGGATTCGATCTGCTGGATCAGAACTTAGTCAGGTTCTCATCATGCATCATCTGATCATGTCTACCTGATCAGAACTTGATCTGAACCCGCCTGCAGTTTTTCGGATTCGATCTGCTGGATCAGAACTTAGTCAGGTTCTCATCATGCATCATCTGATCATGTCTACCTGATCAGAACTTGATCTGAACCCGCCTGCAGTTTTTCGGATTCGATCTGCTGGATCAGAACTTAGTCAGGTTCTCATCATGCATCATCTGATCATGTCTACCTGATCAGAACTTGATCTGAACCCGCCTGTAGTTTTTCGGATCCGATCTGCTGGATCAGAACTTGATCTGAACCAGCCTGTAGTTTTTCGGATCCGATCTGCTGGCTCAGAACTTGGTCAGGTTCTCATCAGAAATCACCAGAACAGTCGAACCTTACAAAAACCTGATCAAGTTCTGATCGTGCTTCAGGTGGGCTTGACGCAATTTCCACTCGGGAAGTCACAAATGCTCAGGTGGTGACCAACTAGGGTCAAAGAATCTAAAATATGGTAGTAGTTTTATAACAACACAATTCCTGAAATTCCTAAAGAAAATCAATTGGACACCTTAATAACAGACAAGCGTATCTACCTTACTAGAAATTTCATTGCGCAGAAACGTCGCGGCGTAAGTTGGCGCGCGACATTGCCTTTTGCGACGATGTACCTCAGGAAGGTACGCCGCAGGGTCGCTGAGACAGGGCTGCGTGAGGTTTATGCGGGATAGACCTATCTGTGTCCGCCCTAACCTCAAATCCCATCAATTAAGAATTCACAATCCTCAGATTATTCGTATTAATTCATATCAATTATTGAAGTATTAACGATTTGTTAGTGAATAATAATCTCTTGCAACTAATTGATGCTTATTATTATCATAATAACAACACCTTTTTAGGGCCATTATGCGGTCATGATATGCACAAAACTATCAATTTATTCTGAATCCTTTGGAGGTCGTGTCG